GCTGTTTGCTGTGTTTTTTTTTTTTTTTTTTCCCCCCCTTTCTTATTTTTATTAGCTCTTGTTCCTCCCGTGTTAGTGGTTGTTGTTGCCGCCATTGCATTCGGAATTTTTTTATGGCACCTCGGTTTTGATTCTCCTGCTACACAAAAACAGAAATAGAATTATTTCATATGAGAAACATGTGTGCAAGTGCATGTGAGCACACACACACACACTTGTTATATATTCAAGAATCATAGCATTCCTAAAAATAAATTCATGTTATATGAAAAATTTTTTTGGCCTTATTGAAAGAACATGCAACTTTCAAAAAAATTATAATGTGTGATATGACGACATGAAACAAATTACGTCCAAATTCATCAAAAGCCACAGTATTTTCTAGTTCATTCTTGGGTATGGTTTCTGCTCTAGACTCTGCTGAAAATAATCAGATAAATAACATTAAAATACCATTATAGTTCTTGAAGGATTTACCATTTCATTTTACGGAATTAAATGCAGTATTTATGTAACACGAAACCGAAATGAGTATTCAGTTTCACGGTGTTTTTTGTTGAGTTATGTGCACTTACACATATTGAACACATTTGGATGATACTGAGTAACTGTGGAGAACAAGTCTTCTCAAAAAGCCATCAGTCTTTTGACTGATGTAGAAAAGAAACCTTTTATTGTTCCTGAAGTTTAATTACAATGTCCACAACAGATTTCCACAGTTCCCTACCAAGCAAGGCTGTATTCTGTTGCTTAGGATATTCAGATCTGTCCAAGTCAGTATGTAACATTTTATAACACCCTATTATTTATACTGAAAGGATTTTAGTCCCTGTGCCTAGTCCCCAAGCTGAAGGTCCATCTACTGTCAGCTGTCCACAACTATTTATGCAATACACAGAAGAGAACTTTGGCCATACATTACTGAATGAACTAATAAAGCTCCTCTGTACAAACACAATAAAGAACTGCGTAAAGTAAGTGGGATTTGAGGCTTTTACAGCACAGCACATGAAGATAAAAGAAACATTTCAGTTTCCCTTGCTGACAAACTCCTTACATCAACAAATGGTAATTTAGTCTGTAAACTATGTAACAGGGGAACTTATGACATAAGACAGTTTTTTTAGAAATTCAGTAGCGATTTCTAACTTTTTCAAGTTAATTGCAGTTCCTGATTCTGATTGGTTGTACTATGTAGATGCAGGCTGTATTTCCAAACACAGCCACCACATAGGAAAAGGATCCACATTAGCACTGAATTGTCATTAAAGCCTTGAAATCTCCTACCTTCAAGGGTAACTACATGAAAGTATGGTACTTTAACTTTAAATGAGAGGCCCTTGCATGGCCAAACAAATACTGGTAGTAGCAACTCCAATAAAGCCACACTGAAACACTGATGAAAGTACATGAAATTCTATCTCTATATTGTTGTTACACTGTTTCTGCAGCAGACTTAGCATATAAATCCCTGATACAGATACTGAGGCAATAATGAAAAATTAAATTTTTATGCTACAGAACGAATTTAAATAATTTAAAGGGGGAGAACTTACCTTCTTCATTTTGTTAATCCTGTTGCAACTGGCACAGCTTCCTCCTATGGGCAACAAACTTATTTGTAGTATTTATAGTTTACAATTCTAAATGAGTCAGTAGGAAATTCAGTCACAAGGTAGCAAATAAATAACTTGATTTATTAAGAATACAACCTCACATAAGGTAGAAGCACAGAACAAAATATGAATGAGGAATTTGGTCATAAAAGCATCAAAGTAAGGTTTTATAACACTGGAATTTGTCATAATAACTTTGAGGCGAAGCTAATCAACTACAACTGTGGCATAACATGTTGCAAAGGAGAAAGCTGTTCCTACACTATGCAATGTTGATGTCTCCAGTACAACCTACAATAACCAATATGTTCTGTGTTTTAAATTCAAACTATAATACATTAAATATCACTGTAATATTCTAGCCATATTTTGCCAGCACATGCAAATTTTATAGTACTGCCAATTCTGTCACAAAAAATTAAGAGACAATTTCCAGTTCCAGGACAGACATAAGTTGTAATTCATCCTGTACATACGTACTAAATACTATATGTAACTATATACTATGAAACATGATTCTAATTTCTTGATATAGTGTTGTTTGGCAACATTTTATATACCTTTACTTGAGACGGTGTGCCTAAAATTAGTAATATCAATAATTTACAGTCAACCACAGCATTGCCACACAAAGCATAACCTTACATGTATTTATAATAGCTGATAATTTTTGGATGGAGTAAATTCTAAGGATAATGTCTGACTAAGCGAAATATCGCAAGCTAACATATTGAATTATATGAATTGTCAGATATTCCACCTTGCCTGTAACTGCTAGAAAATGTATCACACCCATAACTGTGTCCGAGGGATTAGCATATACAAATTTAATTATTCTCAGAGTCCAGTTCACTTCTACGGTAGCCAGTCTAGTTAAATATTTCCAGAAGCAAGGGAGAAGAGATACCAAGTCACAATTATGTGATTCCTCCCTAGTTTCCCGCTAATGCGCGGTTCTCGCATTGCCTGATATGACGAGGATCAGCAGGGCGATGTGTATCTTGCGTTCATCCTCTGTGTGACTTACGTGCACAACTCGCACCACACTGGATATCTTAAAAAGTGGGCCAACATTCTCTTGTCCTTCCCTTTATCGTATCGGTCCTGATACAACGCGCATCTCGTACGTAACTGTATCCTACGACTCCATAGTAGCTCAGTTATGGCATGCTTGCAATGTTCGTAACTGGCTAAATCTTATATCCAGCGATAAACCATTGTTTAGCGTAATCATCTTTAACTGCCTTCGTGGCTAACGAAGTCTGAGTGGCTCTGGCACGTTTCTCAGACCAAAATACTTTCCAACTCGGCCAGAGATTGTACCACATTCTGCTTATGGCAGTCCGTGAATTTAGGTGGTACGAAATCATCCCGTGACATCGGTCAAGCCCCAGATTGACAAATTCATGTGCTTTGACAAGTTAATGCCACTGTTGGTCCAACAACCCCTGCGCAAATGTCTGGTTCATGGTTTAGCCATTTGCGTCCCGAGGGGTCTGTAATGTGACAGTGTAAATATTTTAATCCGACTGTCTTATGGATTCATGGAATGTAATAAAATATGCATCTATTTAACACAATATGAAGCAAATTTTTATGTTTTGCAGAAAACAGTATATTTTGTGAGAATCTCAAGCTCAGAAGTTAAGTTTAAAGTGCACAAGCATGCAAGACAGACACACAGAAGAAAATTTTCTTATGCACGGACACTAAATTTCACTAAAAACGAAGAGTCTCGCTTTGAAAACACAAGATGATGCTAGAACCCGTTTGTGATGACTTACCTCGTCTCCTCGTAGTTCCATTAGTTCTGCTCTTAGTTTTTTGTTTTCTTTTTCCTTTTTGTCTAGTTTGTCTTTCAGTTGTTCTATTTCTTCTTGTGGTGTCATTGGATGTGGCTGAAACACAGAACCCTTTAGTTAAAATTTTACAATAACTAACTAACTAACTAACTGACTAGATGGCTTACCGAACCCGAAGGTTCATCACCGAATTAACCAAAGCCCTCCACCAGACCCTGTCTTGGGCAGAAGCCACTGTTCCTGGATCCTTTACTTTTTCATTGTTTATTGGAAGAGATGGCATCTGATCTGATAAATATATTTTTCCTGTCTCCCTATTTATTATGTTAAATGTTGTTTTTATTTCATTGTCTGATTTTGCTATAAGTCTACTGTAATGCTGCTTTTTAGCCTCTTTTATAACATTATTCAGGATTACACAATACTTAATATAAAATGCTCTTGTGTGTGGGTCATTACTGTTTTTATGTTTTGCAGAAAACAGTATATTTTGTGAGAAACTCAAGTTCAGAAGTTAGGTTTAAAGTGCACGCGCGTGCAAGACAGACACACAGAAGAGAATTTTCTTATGTACGGACACTAAATTTCACTAAAATCGTAGAATCTCGCTTTGAAAACACGAGACGATGCTAGAACCCGTTTGTGAGGACTTACCAGGCCTTCTTGTGGCTGCTGCTGCTGCTGCTGATTCCGTTTTTCCAGAACCATTTGCAGTCTTGCTTTTTTATCTTGTAAATCATGATCTTGTTTTTTGTGATTTAATTCTTGCAGTAGTAATGCATGTGATGATGGTGATGGTTGTTTTCTTGGGGAGAATCTGATTGGGTTCTTGTCAGGTTTTCTTTGATTCTGCAGCAACACAAAAACAGAAATAGA